ATTTGCAATGTCTGTGTGGATCTTTCCCTGAGTCCCAAAGATTCACTCAGCTGCAACACACTTGGTAATAGAAGAGGATTCAGTTAATTGAGCAGGGTTCATTTTTGTCTTCTTAACAAGTTGGAATGAGTTCATCCACAACAGTTGTCCTGCTGTGGGTACATCACAAATCTGTTTTCTTTTGCTTCTCTTTAAAAATGTCTCCTGAGTGATTTCATCAGCAGTGCTGTTGCTAAGCCTATATTTAGCAACTGAAAATCATGCTCAGAAATACTGTCATGCTTTTTAAATAAGGCCTACCCATCCCTCCTCCACACATGGCCAATTCCAGAACCTTCATGCCCTGAGCAGAAAATTGAGCCCTCCTTGGGGGATTCAAAAAAAACTGCACTTCTGCTGCACCCCAGGCTCTTGGCAAGGAGGGACCTTTGTCCTAGAGAATGTTCTTGTGGTTATTGCAAAACTAATTTTGTTCCTGCATACTGAAGCATCACTGGGTGAATTTCTTTCCCCTGAAGATAAACCGAGGGTGAGCACTGCTCTTTAAATGTCAGTAAATTTGTTTTAGCTTCTGGGGCAAACCTTGTTGTATACTCATTCCGTTCCTCCCAGCATAATATGTTAGGTTGTCATAAAGTAGGGCAGACTGGGGAGAGTGTCACTACTGCTGCTGAATACATGGCAAATAATGAACTCTCTCCTGCCTTCCAGTTTCCTTTGACACCAGATGCTTCTCTAGAGCTTGAATGAGTACTAGTCAAGTTAATTTGAAAAATCAGAGTAATCACTGCCTCATGGGGCCAGATGGTGTCAGTGAGGGCGGTAGTCCTACCACGCCCCCACCAGGCAGGTGCTGCAGACACGCGTGTGCCCCCAGGCGCAGAGGGGCGCCTGGCTGACACCTGTGGGGCAGTAAAAATGAACAATAAGTGTTTTTGTTTTGAGGTTTGGTGCTCAAAGGTCTTTTAAAAATTTTTTCATTAATATGAGTACGTAATAGTGGTACATCTAATGAGTTTTTGATGCAAAGATTTCTCAAGCTTTGTGGAAGTGGTAGTGGTTGGCCTCAAATCCATTTACTGTTGCTTGATGTCTGCAGTGGAGCAGCAGCTCTTTTTTGTTATAGCCCTATTTGAGGAGGAGTATGCTTTCATGATGTCCAAAACGTTCACAGACTTCATGAGCCTAGTGATGCTTTCGTCCATACGGGTATGGGAGAATGCTTGTGCCCACGCATCCTCAGCCCCTTGACCTCTGGCCATGGCCCAGGGCCTGCAGGGGACCCGTCCCCTCCGCTCCTCCACACTTCTGCAAAACTCCAAGATCCCTGATGGTGGAGAGTAATGTTTCTGGCCCTGGTAGCCAGTCACTCGACACTCAGTTCCGGGAACTGAGTGCCTGAGATGGGAGGATGGAGCCAGGGAAAAGCCCCGGGTTAACTGCCTGCTGAGGCCCGTGGCGTATTTGTAAGTCGTTCTGTATTATAGTTCAGTGCTAATCACACTGCATGCTTCATGCCTGACAAAAACCAACTTTGTTTTCTATGAAAACCTCCACTTGGCTAGTTTCTGTCACATTGAGCAGTGTTGCCATGTTACCACAAGCCATTCCTCTACTAATTGTGTGCTTTGTTTTGTTTTTTCCCAATAAGGATAACTTCAATAATCTACTTATTTTGGTTACAAACCAGAGTTAAGACTATTATATAATGGTTGGCCTGACTTCCAAGAAAGCTAATGTTTTGCTGAAGCAAATGAAATTTTTTAATAAGTGCTTGAAAATCTTGCTCTGATCTTATGTGGGAGGGCAGCTTAATCTGTTTTTTACCCTGTACTTCTGATGTTTTTGATTAATACCAAAAAATCTAACAAATCTCATTTCTGAGCTTTTGTTTACATACTATATATTTTATATTATTTCTTATCCTTTTAAATGCCAGTGAAAGTGCTAAGTTGGATTTTGTCCATTTATTAAATAGAATGGAAGGGTGGGGAACTTTTATTTCTCAGACTGATACATATACCATTGTCTTGAAAACAGTTGAGCCTATGGGGATTTCTCTACTACATATGAATCTGTAGGGACTACATTTGGATCATAGGGACAGTTTTCCAGGATGGCATACCAACTAGACAAGTATTACTAAAAGAAGCAAGTTTTTTCATAAAGAGCTCCATCAAGGGTCAGCTCTGACTTGAACTAAGGCATCTCATAATTGTTCTCTAAGAGCATTAAATTCCATCTTGCATGCCAGTTGAGAATTATGTATTAGGTGGGACTTGGGACTGAGTATGTGAACTGAGTAATGGTATTAACTTATATCTTATTTAAAAAGCTATGTTTTTTTTGGTTTGTTTTTTTTTTTTTCTTGAGACAGAGCATTGGCTCTGTTACCAAGGTTGGAATGCAGTGGCATCATCACAGCTCCCTGCACTGGGCTAGAGTGCAGCGGCATCAGCCTAGCTCACAGCAACCTCAAACTCCTGGGCTCAAGCCATCTTCTTCCCTCAGCTTCCCAAGTAGCTGGGACTACAGACACATGCCATGACACTTGGCTAATTTTTTTATCTGTAGTAGAGACGGGGTGTCACTCTTGCTCAGGCTGGTCTCAAACTCCTGGCCTCAAGCGATCCTCTTCCTCCTCCTGCCTTGGCGTCCCAGAGTGCTGGGATTACAGGCGTGAGCCACCACGCCCGGCCTAAAAAACTATGCTGCTTAAATTAAGGGCCTGCCCATCCCTCTGCATGACTAATTTACTCATGCTTGAGCAGAGTGTGGAGCCTGCCTTCAGGGATTCCAAAATGCCTAGACCCTGCTATTAATAAGTCAAGGCTGTTGATACAGAAGTCAAACCTTTCCACAAATTTGTGTTACTCCAGGGTGGTTTCCATTCTTTTGTACTACCTGGAGTTAAGAAAGGCTTTTGTAAAAAATGGGATTGAAAGTGAGTATGTGAGCTAGAGCAATGGTATTAACTTACATCTTTATAGAAATGCGCTAATCTCAAAGTATGAAATTTTGACAAAAATCAATTTGTATACCTGAGACTTAAATACACCAATAATGAAAAATTAACAGTCTTGTAACCATTCTTTTTAGCTCCACTTAAACAGATGATCTAGTCCAAAGACTGGCAAACTTTTTCCATAAAGGGTCAGAGAAGTTTAGACTTTGCAGGCCAATATGGTCTCTGCTTCAGCTTTTCAGCTCTGCCAGTATAGTGTGAAGACAGCCATAGACAGTAAGTGAACAAGCATCGGGCTGGATGTGGCCTGCAGGCAGCTTGCTGACCCTTAATCTAATTCACGAGAGCATAATAATAAATAACTGAATGGTACCACATACCCTCAATTTAATTCAGACTGCTTCCTCATTACCTATTTGCCAAAAATTAGAGCCCAAGAGCATTATTCTAGTTGTGGGTTGTTCGTAGTTCATCTAACAGGAATATAATGCACCTGCTAGAGTTCCTGTGCGTGCCAAAGGGCCCCACCATCCAGCACCCCTGAGCACACCTTTCCAAGGTGCAGCCTGCCCCTGGTAAGCTCTGGGTATAGGCACAAGCTTGCTTGCAACTTTTCAGAGGTCTCTGTAATAGGGAAGTAGAGGAGGGAAACCAAGCACATACTTAAAGGCCAGAGAGCCTGCAAGTTATATGACTATTCAGTCCATGTATGTAGACTAGTCCAAGTACATGATGACTTAGACCACTAAGTACAGATCGAAAAAATAGTTTTGCGCACTAACCATAGTAAAACGACCAATAAATGTTTGAACACTGTTGATTACTTGGCTTGTAGAACTGAGCAGTTTCAGAAATTAGCTTATTTCTATTACACTGATACCTCGTAAGCCGTTTTATGTAGTTTATATAATATTTTGACATTGTTTTCATTTTGCTTTTCAGGGGAGCCCTGGAAGCTTATGTCCATACAGTGAGAAGTAGAGAAGGCAAAGAATTTGCACCAGTTTATCCCATAATGGTTCAGCTGCTTCAAAAAGCTATGTCTGCTCTTCAGTAACAATATGAAATCCAATCTCACTTCGCGCTAACCCATTCATAGTTGGCAGTTAAGTAACATAGTCTAAAATTTAGACAGCAACTACCCACTATTTTAAGAATGTAATGGATTTTTCTATATTTCTTGTTGATCTCTATTTACCTTTAGCACTTCCACTTTAGCATAAAATATCAAAACATATTCATCATCACAGCCTTTAAAATTCATGGACCTGATTATTCCAGAAAGATTCTAACTTTTTTCCTTTCAGACTTTTGTACAAGGCTAAAATTTCTTTATCACCTGAGTTCCACTATGGGTATATCCACACAAGGACCCCATTGCTTCTAAAGGGATCTGAATAAGTTATAGGGAGACTGTTTCCCCCAAGCTGCCCTCTTCCCTAGTAAGTGTGTAGTCCAGTGGTTCCCAAATATGAGTGCACATTCACACCACCAGGGGAGTTTTAAAAAAATCCTGATGCCCGACTTGCACTCCATACTAATTAACATGTCTGGGGGAGGGAACGGGAGTGGGAGTCAGGAATCAGTATTTTTTTTTTTAAATCCCCACAGTGATTCCAATATGCAACAAAGTTTGGGAACCACTAACATATCCAAAACTAAGATGTAGGGTTAAATGTTCTTGTTTAAATATGTCATCCTGAATCTTTAAATAAAGCAAGGCTTTCTTTACACTTTGTCGTTTTATTAAGAGCAGACCTTGTGGGTGGTTTAACCTTTCAACAGAGTTGCCAAGTGAAAAATATTTTTTATTCTACAAGGATTCTCTATAAATAATCTAAGTCCTTATTTGTTTTATTGCCATTGCCGCACTATTAACATTTTTGTTTTTAATTTTTTAAATCCCAATAGCAGCCACATAATGATAAATACAAAAGGTCTAAGTGTTAGAAACCATAAGGCAAACTTCCTATCTCCTGAACCTGTTATTCCGACAACTCAAACATTAAAATCAATCAAGTCAGAGGTAAACAACTTTTTTTCATTTTATTTGAAATAATATACAAGAATATAGTGTGCAAAATTTAGGGGCAACATCATGAAGAAGTGTAATGAACTGAAATCAATTTTACAGCTGTGATTCCTAACCAGAAACACCACTTGGTAAGTAACATGAAAAGCCATGATTGTAGCTCAGAGCAAAAGCAGCTGTATTGCCAATGTATTTGCTCTAATTTTAGACAGTTGGATGAAAAGTAAAGTGCAAGTGTTGCACTGCAATAAGTGCAAAGTCTGCCCCCACCATAAAGATATGATGACAAAATATATTTAAGATACGTGGCTGAGGAGATATAGAACACAAAGTTAAAAAATACAATGGTGTTGACTGTTAATAGCACCATTACTGTGACTATATCCCAATGCTATTAACTAACTTTATCTTGGCCTGGGCTAGGTCTCCACTGGAAATAATGGATGGCTGCTGCCACCTGGTGCATAAACTCAGCATGCCATGGGAACTGCAGCAGGTGGCTCTTACACTGGGACACTGACACCAGCCACCTACCACATGTTCGGATAGCCCCTTGGCACTGGCCACACTAGGAGTGCCTGTGTTTGGCACAGATGCTGAGCCATGTGGTGGCTGCTCGAGGAAAGGCCAACTCCCAGCTTCTGCTTCATTCCATCATGTGTACAATACAGATTAATAAGCAATAAGGAGCCAAATGTATAAACAGCAGTTACATATTTTTAAATTCCCCTTTCATACAATTTAAAATATAACATGTATACACTTCTCCTCTCTTTCTACTGTACTTTAGCACCACAGGATATCAATTTTCAAGCCTATATTACCTGATAGACACATATGAAGTTTGGAAGAAAAATAAGGCAATTTGGTTTACAATGTTGATAGTTTTAGCTTACTTAATGCTCTAATGGAGAAAGCAAATCCTCACTCATATTATTAAATCATTTCAAGACTCAATGCTATCAGTATCTTACGGTCACACAAATTCAGGACAAATGGTGAGACCTTGATCTTCTTAAGCCTTTCCATCAAGAGTCAATGTTTATGCAAATATAGACTTAAGAACACAAGCATCCTGGTTTAATGTTGCTGTGAGCCCTGTGGAAATAAAATTAAACGCAGTGAATGTTTACAAATCAATACATGGGTAATCCCATATGTGGACACTAAGATGTATAAGATAATGTTTGTAAGTTCACTATTAAAAATACTGTTCTGGTGACTTCAGGTGACTTCAAAATTTGCTAGTATCTCATGGTTCAAGCATCCAGAAAATTTATGAAAAATAAGACATGGACTAGGATGAATAGAAAAGAAAGGTGATACAAAGTCCTACCACATAAAATTCTAAATTAACAACTTCCAAAATCCAGTCATCTTCTCACCTACTTCTTTAAAAGAAATTCTTGAACATTTTAAAACCGATGTGACCTGCACGTTACTATAAAAACAGGTACACATACACAAACATCCTTGGCCAGCCCTCTTACTACAACTACTACTGTCTTCACTTCTAGTCTACCAAGTGAAATTTTCTTAAAAGATGCTAGTCTAATAACGGAAAAGTTCTAAGCACCAAGTCTATCCAAGATAGATTTTGGTATGAATTTATTTACCACCCTTCCTGGGCCTATTTCTTCTTCTTCTTGAGGTTTTTAATCTAAAAATTCTGGGCCAATGGCAGAAGTCCCCATGAAGGTTAGTTAGTGTACCCTCAACACCTCCATCCTCATTAGTCTCTCGCCAATTAAGGAAAGAAAGGCTTTTGAGACCACCACCAAAAATTAGAGAAATTTTCTACTGTGATATTAATGGGTTAATAATGCCCATCTTTCAACCTAACTAGAAATAATATATTCCAAAATTATTGTTTTACCTTAACATTTAAAACATTCTTTTTAAAGTTTGCTTGAGATTTCTGCTTCCATGCAAACAGGGTATGGAATATGATGAAAAGAAAAGCAGTCTTATATGATGATGGGAAAACATTAGCCTCTGAAGTATGAAAATGCTATAAAAAAATGTCACTACAACCTTTTAAAGGTTATAACAATCGTTCCAACATGCCAGTATACCTATGGGGATAAGTCAAAATAATTTTAAACAACTACTTATTGAAACGTACTGAATTGGTTCTTTTCCTTTTCCAACAGTCAGGATTTAAACGTTTCTGTTCTTCAGCCAAAGCCTTTGCTTCTAATGTGTACATCCTTCTCTCTTCATTCTTCATTTTCTTCCACCTGTCACCCAGGATCACACTTATGGCTCTGTAAAATAAATATTTACAAAATGCTAAAGGCATAAATTTTTCATAAAACTCAAGTGCTGCTATGTTGGGGAAAAAAAATGTAAAGTTAAAAAAAAAAAAAGACAAAAATCTTGTCCAACATAGAGAAGGCAAAAGGTCAAGGCGGTAATAGTCATTTCCAGTAAAATCCCAAGTCATATGGCCCATTTATCATAATCTCAGCAGTTAAAGCCCCCTGGTATAGTGTCAATATTCCCAACTGTCAAAGGAATCTAAAATGGCTAGAAATTGGATATTGTACAAAGCTTATATTTAAAAAAAATTTTTTAAGATTTCAAAGAAAAGGTTTTAATTATTACCATTAGATCTATCATTGTACATCAGTTTTTAAAAGATGCTTAAGGTATAAAGGTAAGACTATTCAGTATCAGCATGAAGTATTCAACTTGTATTAAAAGTTATTCTTACATATTGAGAGTTCTATTTATGCCCATAACACCTATCAAAATGTTATGATAAAGGTCTTTATCTCTTAAGATGAAACCAATTAAACTTTAGTCAATATTCATACTTAATTACTTGAGAAAATTGGATACATTCCAAACAGTAAGGATAAGTCAAACTGATAGGATTCAGCATGATAGAAATTTGAAATTACTTTCCTATTTATAGTTGTCACTCTGCTACCAAACCTACTAAGATAGTCTCACCCAGAGCATGCAGACATAAACCACATTCCTTCTATGAAGAGCTATTAACCATTCATTCTGTGACACTCATACAAGACAGAAGGTCCTGGAATGACTATACAAAGTATGTACAAGTGATTTTATCCAACTGATAAGGAAACTAAAGATATGTATATGTGCTTTAGAAGAACAATAAACACAGAAGCTCTAGTACTTAAAAAGAAATGAAGTTTGTGTAAGTTTACTTGTCTTTCTATCTAATAAGTTGATGCAATTAAACATTACACTGCATCTTCCTTTAGTAAAAACCAATTTTTATAGTCTTTGGGTTAAAGACACCATACAGTAGTTGGCACATTTACTAGTTAAACAAATCAGTAAGAAATATTCACACATATACTACACCCCCATCTCAGTCTTTCAAAGTAAGAAAAAATGTGAAATGTTTTTGGAAGGGAGTGGTTATGTGACACTTGAGAAACACATTTATTCCTTAAGTTAAAAGCTGACAGGTAATGAAATGTGCAAAATAATACAGACTATTATCTGTATTCCCTTCTATAACAATAAAGTAGATATGTCACCTAAAGATGATTTTTGCAGTGAGTGTTACATGCAGATTGACAATTATATCAACTATGTCTCTCTGATTGATCTATCTCTTGATGTTAGGTGATTACCAATATATCACATGGGAGCAATGCTAAAATGCAAAGAAAAAATTAGATTTATGAGCAAAAAGGGGTATAACCTGATAGAGATCCTTAAAAAAAAACAGAAAACACCTTAAGCTATTAATAAAATGAGATTTACACTCTTATAATCAGGACAATCCAATTACAATTACAGAGAATTATAAGTAAGTTCAGAAGGCATCCTGGCTGATGCTGTCAATGGCTAGGGAAGAGACTTATTATTAATGTCATATAGGGACATGAATCCTGTATTTCTTAGATGTCAAAGGACATAGCTAATAATTAAGATACCAGATATGTACAAAAAAAGAAATGCAGCATAGCACCTATCACTAAATCTCTAAGGTAGCCATTTTCTCAGGAAATAAAACTGAGCAAGGAGAAAACAGGTATCAATGATCCTAAAATGCCTTTAAATCCTAAAAGTATATTTTCTGTGAGAATAATCACACACTAGTCACCAGAGAAGTGGACTTCCAAAATGTATTTAAAAAAGTTAAACCCACTCTTGTTACTGATGAAGAAATGGAGGATTAGAACTTGGGTTAATTGCCAAAAGTCACAGAGATGACAGACCCAAGAGTTAAAAATTTCAATGGTGTTGAGAAAGCCCTTAGAATTCTTCACTGAGTAGGAATCTAAACAACCAGAAACTAAAGACAAAGTTATTCATTAAAGTGTTACTTGTAATATTTTCAATGCAAATATACATATGTATCAATTCTCAGAAGCATTTGGGATAAGCTTCTCTTTTTAAAATGTAAATACTTAGACTAGGAAGTACTTGAGTTAATTTTTATTCCTGGGCTCTCCTGAAGACAACTTTTGACAAGTTTGGAAACTTACTACAAATTGCCAATATCTACACATTCCATAGTAGACTCAGTTATCTGTCTAGGTATTATAAAGTAATTATACATGCCCTAAAAATTCCACTTAAACTTTTTACTTTAATGTCAACTTAAGAAAACAGAATTCAATTAAAGTTAAGTGTACTTAACTATCCCAGTTGCTGTGAATGACATTGAAGTATTTAGTTATTATAGTAAGATTTGTCACCATTTTTACCTGTTATCTTTCCCTGGATACATCTGAGTATATTCAACTCTGTATTTTTTGGCAAAAAGCATGAAGGCATTCATTGGTCTTTTGCACTTATTAGGAGAAGTGGCACTCACAGTCCCTGAGCTGTGGTTTTTGACAGCTTTAGCATATAAAGAATTTGAAGAGAGCTGTGATGATCCAGGTGAGCCACAGTTTTTACTGAATCCAGATCTTGCAAAATCTTGACCACCAGGTCCTCCACAAGACAAAGATGCACGACGTTGACGAGCCATACTACTTAACACATAAACTGCAGAAGAATCCATAGGTGTGAAGTCATAGCTATGAAATTTAAAAAAATTAATACAGTTTTAATTCAGTTTATCCAATTTCTATAAACAGGGTTTTTAAAAACCCTTAACATTTGATTGGAACTTTCAATGCATTTTCCCCTATATAATGTTATCAACACTACTTTTAACAACTTTTGCCACTGATAGTTGCTTATACTAATAAAATGAATTCTATATATGCATTGACTAAAATTATTACTTTAAAAAAAAAGCCTCTGCAGATAATAGAAAAGTAAAAAAAAGACTTGAACCCTGTAATAAGGAATATTATAATCAACATGGCTTGTTCACAGCAAGTAACTCGTTCAAATCCCACACAACCTACTTATTCTTACTTCAAATTCCCTTCTTGACAAACCTGCTAATTCAATTTCTAGCCTAGAGCTAGAAAATTAAAATGAAGTGGAGGCAATATACTAGGCCTAAGGACTAAATACTGAAGAAGACAAAAGATTGGGTAAGGGGCAGTCAAAAGCTATTAAACGCGCCCGGCTAAAGAAACTTAATATGCCCCATAATCTGGATCTTTATGAAAAAAGTCACACACATATATCAGTCTCCCAAAAAGCCAACTACTGCCTAGTATGTTCATAGTAAAAACCCACCTTTATCAGGAAAGGCTACATTTTGTTCCAGTTTACATAGGCATGCAAATAAACTATCCATATTATTCTCTCATCTCCTCAACAAACCATCTAGGACAGTATCATTATCCCCTCTTTTATATGAAGAAACAAGCTAAGAAAAGTAAAGTATTATGCACCCAAGGCCACACTACTAGAATCCAAACTCAGATGATCTATCTACCTTCAAAGCCCCAGGTTTCCTTAACAGTACCATGATATCTCACATTGCTACTGACTCAAGGTGAACAGATAATAATCCTATTAATTGGAAATATTAGCTGAAAATTAGAGCTAATGTAGATCACAGCCTAAAGCTACACCAGTCAAAAGAATTTTCTTTTGTTCCAACTGTTAACTCTCTGCCTACAGTAATTTGTATCTTCTTGGCAAAAAACCTTTTATTCAGAATCCAACCCCTACTTCTCTCCCTGAAACAGAAATTCTGGTAATATATCAAAATAGGTTCATATTGGCTACAGGAACAGCATCTTCTCAAAGGTGAAGCATATGAGATTAAGAAATATTCTAAAAAGAAGTGAAAAACTAAATGAGCTAGGTCCATGCTATTTACTACACACAGTAAAAATGACTTTTAGCAATTACCAACCAGTGTTTTTTTTTTCCTTAAAGGTATTACATGAAATAATGTACTTAAACTATCACTGCAAAATTATCTCATGAATGCTTAGCAATCAGTATGTCAGAGAAACAATTTCTGCTTTCTAGGTTTGCAACTTCCATAAAAATACTGTAAGCCCCTCTCATACATAATTTAGAAAAAATAGCACACTTCACTATAAATGAATTTGACACAAAATATTTAATCTCTTCTCAAAGAAAATACTTAGTTACAATTTTAAAATACCAAAAGATACAAGGTAAACTAATTACTAAAATGTGAAAACCCCACCATCTAGTGGCACAAATACAACTGTCATCTATTTCCATTATGGATACAACTTAAATCAGCTTGAATTCACAAAATTCGGGATTTTGATAATCTTTTGCTATAACACCTTAGTTTTCATTCTCTTCACTAAACCACCTGTAGTTCCTCAAAGGTGCCTTGTTTCACACCCCTACTTTTTTTGTATATGTCATTCCTTAAGCTTAGAATGTTCTTTTCCACTTCACTGTCTAATCACTACTCTTAAAGGCAAACTCTACAACAATAGTGCCTCTCAACTATGTCACATGTATTAACTCATTTAATCCTTTTTCTAATATCTCCATTTTATAGACTTCTGAAAAAGAAGAGGCATGGCCATTCTTAACCCATTTTTAAATTAATTCTGGAGAACATAATGTAAAATTTTAATTGGGTTTAAATTCCAGTTTTGCCACTTTATTAGCAGTATGACCTTGGGCAAGTTAAATAAATTCATTCATTCATTCAAAGACAGGGTCTTACTCTGTTGCCCAGGCTAGAGTGCAGTAGCATCATCACAGCTCAGTGCAACCTCAAACTCCTGGGCTCAAGTGATCCTCCCACTTCAGACTCTCCAGTAACTGGGACTGTAGGTGTACATGACCACACCAAGCTAATTTTTTCTATTTTTTTTTTTTTTTTAGAGATGGGGTCACACTATGTTTGGGCAAGTTAAATAAACTATCTAGCCTCAGTTTACTTATCTGTAAAATAAAGAGAATACATGCTATAAGGGGTTGTTGAAAGGATAATAAATGTAAAACATGGCAGAGGCTGGCACAAAGTTGTATTCAATTAGGGGTATCTGTTATTGTAGAGGTAGATTAGGAGACAAGCATGCTAAATTTGGAATCTTTATAAGATACAGGATTGAATCCTAATTCTGACAGTAACTGGCTTTGTTTTGGGCATGTTCTTTAACCTCTCCTAACTTTATTTCTCTTTTTCTCTTTCTGTAGAATGAGGATATAACCTATCAATAGGGATTGAAGATTAAATAAATTTACATATGTACACTACCTGGCACATAGTAAGCACTTAATAAATTTGTTAAATTATCACATTACTTGAATAGAAATGTCAACTTCACAAAGTCAAAAGTGACTGTTTTAAACTTGTATAATGCCTATAAGATTAGCCCCAACTGACAAAGTCTCAGAAAGGGCTTCTGTAAAGCATGCTCTTAGAGGCCTCCTTTCTATGGTAGAGCTTTGAATTGGGTTTAAGAGCTCATCAACTTGTTAACTTCTTACAGTTCTTACCAAGCTAGAAACCACTCAAGTGTCCTTCCCTGTAAACAATGATCCAAGAGCTTGCCCCACATCCCCAACAGACCTAGGAATTTATTCTGGGGTTCCATTTTGGACTGAGTGTTTCCTCTCCCTGCCTTTCTTTTCTCTTCTTGCTCTTCCTATGCCAGATATCATCTCCTTTAACCCTCAAGTCATAATCAAGTCCACAAAGAAAATTTAGTCAACTTCATGTTTCTCAACTTTTTCATGGTTTCTCCTGGATGAAACTGCCCATTTCCGCTCCTTTGCAGGAGGGGAAAGGTGAGCATTGCCGTTATATTATATATGTTACAGCCACTCAACAGTAAAATTAGACCAGTGACAATGATCATATTGAGAGGGATTAGTATCCAGTGGGATCAAGTGATGAGAATTTCCCATCTCAGAAAAACAGGAATTAGGCAGCCAAGTTTTTCCTTTTGCCTTAAAAAGCAAAGTTGTGCACTATGTAATACTTAATATATAACATATATCTAAGTTATGAAGCACACAACTATCAGTGAACCCACAATCCAAATTAAGAAAACATTTCTAATATCACTTTAAGTTCATTTGCTACCCCCAGATAACTTTTCTCCTGAATGGCTTATCCTTCTCTTATTTTCAATAATTTTATTATAAAAATAATATTACTCAATACTGCTCTCCCTTCAAAGGTCTTCTTACAAGGTTGGCCCTTGACTGGGCATCTAGAACTAGGATTTCAGGAGGGTTCCCATCATTGCCACAACTGATAAGGATAGCTTAGTATGCCTAAGCTGTGTGTACAAACAACATGGTTTACTCTGAAAAGCCACTTTCCTTTGGAAGTTTGAAATTTTGGTACATGTCGGGCAGAGAAAACTGTGAGTGCTGAGTGTCTAATAGGCTTTCCTGGTACATGTTTCATACTTGTTGTCACAACTCACTACTGGTAGAATTAACGGTGTCCTGTTCATCAGCACTGGGAGAGATCCCTGGAAGCTTGGCTTCCTCCAGACTTCACTCCCTGTCTTTTCCCTTTCCTGATTTTGCTTTGTATGCTTTTACCATAATAAATCATAACCATGAGCAAATTCTCCCAGCAAATGATCAAACCTGGGGGTGGTCTTAAGGGACTCCTGACATGATTATACAATGTATATTACATATAATATATAAAGCTTATATACTTATATTTATAGTTTTATTAGATATATTTGTAAAGAACAGGGTTCCATAAAAATAGAAACATATTGTTTACTTCTGAGACTTATTTTTACTTAACATTGTTTTAAAAATTGATCTGTATTTTAAAGTATATAGCTACAGTTCATTTTCCACTGGTAAAAAAGAATTCCACTGTAAGATTATATCACAAGTTAGGTATTCACTCTCCAGTTAATAGGTAGTTTGATTGTTTCCACATTTTTGCTATCATCAGCAATTCAGCTATGAACTTACTGGCATATCTCTTTGAGCATGTCTGCAAGAATTTACTTCACTAGGGTATATAACAGAGGAGTGAAATTGCTGATATTCACCTTTGTAAGATAAAGCCAACTGTCATCCAGAATTTTTTTATCAGGTTATCCTCTCACCAAAATACAGGAGTTATCAGTGATCTACATGCTAAGAATACTTAAAGAATCCGTCCTTAAAATTTTGTGTCATTTTTCTAGTTTTTAAAGAAGAGTGTATATGAGGGTTTCAGTAGAACAGTATTGAGTTTACAATCTTATAGACATTTATTGAGCATATGGCCTGTGCCAGGCCCTATGCTATTTGCTTTTTTAGTAATATTAGTCTCATTTATCCTTATGATTTATATAATATATTAACCTTAAATTTGATTTAAATTAAACTGAAGGAAATAAAATCTACAGGCCAGCAGGAACTCAAGAATTCTCAGGGCACTACTTAGTGCCCCATACATGATATGGATTTCATAATTACCTTAAAAAAAGAATGAGTCTTTAAGTCCCAAGTATCTACACACAGACTTTCTCCAGGTACCTTCTAAGAGTAGGGTAACCAACTGTCCCAGTTTGTCTAGGAATGACGAGTTTCCAGATATGCTGGATTTTCAGTGCTAATGCCAGGAAAGTCCCATATAAATAGGGACAGTACATCAACCTTCTTGAAAGTCAAGACACATGGATTCTTGTCCTATTCTGCCACTTGTTAGCAACATGATGTCAGAAAAAACTGCTTTCCTCTCTAAAATGTCAAGTTTTGGCTAATTTTTTACTATTTATTAAACCATGCAACACCCTTGGTCAAAATGAATATTAAACAAAGATACAATTAACTACCAAAAAAAAAAAAATACAGTTAGCTTAAAAAAAAACACAGACAGACTATTAAGAGGTTTATGGCTGGTTAAAAACAGTTGCCTGATTGCCCGGATTTTTTTTTAATGTATGTAACTATCAAAGTTGATCTATTAAACTCCTGGTTATATAATATGATATTCTTTCTAATCTAATCCTAAATGTCTCATAAATTCAATTTTCCTATATAACAATTATATGCAAAACTCCCTATTAGCTATTAATTACCTAATATTTTTTAATTTAATCATAGTTATACTTTCCTCTAAGTATTTCTCTTATAATTATCAAATTAAGGGTAAACCTTAACAGAAAAAAAAAGAATCTAATATTACCTTTTAAATGTATCAAAAACACCTGAATCATCAAAATTAATGGCATCGGGGTGTCCAGGAGGTAGACATACATCTCCAATATGAATTTCACAACATGGAATGCCATGCTGTACCACAGTCAAGCTTGGATAAAACGATGACCAACCTAAAGTTAAACAATAGTTGCATAAAGAATGAGGACTGACAGAAAGCACCCTAATTATTTTACAACAGACATATCATTTCTGTATCTTAAAAAGTTATTTCTTAAAACATGTCCCAAGAAATTTTCTAATACAAGGCATGTATCTGCAATAAAGTAGTATTCAATAAGTATTCTCTTTCAGTAATGTAAAAGCTCTCCAAAACTAGTTTAATTCAGTAAGTACTTTATTAATATATGTAGATATATCAATCATCATTTATTCACTATCTTATAGACTGATGGAAGTGCTCAGTGACTGAGACCATGAAATAGTCTCTGAATCATCAAATTATGTTTAATATGGTGTGATTATAATAAGGCTTTGAAGACTGAGTTTGGTTTATAGTATATTTGGTAACTCTTAACAAAAATGTGATTATCATCACACTTCATTCCCCAAACTATCTGAAGATAACAGAGAGCTTATTATAGTATGCTACAATGAATCTAAAAATTTCTCACACTCAGGAAATTGAATTCCACCTGACTATTGCTAAGATACTTAAGCACCATTAAGTATAAATTATAAGCATTTCCAATAGTAGTTTTATATAGTTGGAAAGAAATTTTCCCTCCAAATTTTTTTCCTTAATCATCAAAGCCACAGACATAATTATAGATTTAAGAAGCTTTCTTTAAAAAGTTATTACAAATTCAGTTAAAGCCCTACCTTTATTTTTAACATAGAAAGGGTGGTCCAGCTTACACTCTACAGTAAGTAAACCATCTTCTACTGTACCAGGATCAAAAGTCAACTTCAGTACTGACTCGCCAAATGATACACTTTCTTCATGTGATAACAACTTTAGACCATCAGAACCATAGCCCTGAAAATATATGCATAGAGTGAATGAACTGGAAATGTTCAATTCAACACACAGTGAAGCTTCCATTACCTGTAAGACTTTGTGAAAAAGGTAAAAACACCCAAGATGGGATGCCTGCCTTTAAAGATCTTTAAACCCAGTAGTGAAGAAAGACAAATAAATATAACTAGACTGTAGTAAACACTTTAATTCACATATAAATAGTGGTGATGGAGTTAATAAAGTTGTTAATTCCAAAAGAAAGATTAGGGGGGACTTTCAATTCTCATTTGAACAGATTTAAAAGAACAATGCAATTCAGAAAGGTAGAAGGACAGGATTTGCACCAGAACGATTATAATTAACTTTTTTGGGGGTGGGGGGAGTGCTAAGTATTTGCTAAAAATACAAGATGAGTTCAGACTTGGGCAAATAAGGCTAAACAGGAGAGGCCAATTAGTAGAGGGCTCATAAAGACAGGCAAAGTGCTTAAACTTTTTACTTAGAAGGTATTGGGAAGTTAATGAAAGTATCTTTACTAATATGACTGCCAATTTGAAGATGATGATGATGACTGCAGAATAAAAAGGGATCTCATATTCAATTATTTGAGGATATAATGAGAGATACCCAGTATAGTCCTTAATTGACAAGTGCAGTGGTGGTAGAACCAGACTAAACTAAAATTCAATGAATACTGAGCATTTAGTACATACCAGGTAGGCTCTGAAAATACAAACATTAACAAGACATGATCCTTACCCTTAAATCCACAGAAAAACAAAGACAACAAACATGCCAATAATTAGCTATAGTATCCAATCATTATTACACTAGTGCATGAACAAAGTAATGAATGAGAGATAAGGATGACTGTTAAAATCTTTACAGAAATTGGCCGGGCGAGGTGGCTCACGCCTGTAATCCTAGCACTCTGGGAGGCCAAGACGGGCGGATTGCTCGAGGTCAGGAGTTCGAAACCAGCCTGAGCAAGAGCAAGACCCCGTCTCTACTATAAATAGAAAGAAATTAATGGGCCAACTAATATATATATAAAATTAACCAGGCATGGTGGCACATGCCTGTAGTCCCAGCTACTCGGGAGGCTGAGGCAAAAGGATTGCTTGAGCCCAGGAGTTTGAGGTTGCTGTGAGCTAGGCTGACACCACGGCATTCACTCCAGCCTGGGCAACAAAGCAAGACTCTGTCTCAAAAAAAAAAAAAAAAAAAAAAGAACCAAATATTATGTAGAGATATCTAACATGCAGTTGGAAATGTGCCACTGAAGGCTATAGACATATATTTGAAAATAACTAAATTACAAAAATCTTCTTATTTTTAGAGCTACAGGAGACCTTAAAACTAACTCAATCCCATTTTACAGATCAAAACCAACACCCAGAGGGGTTAACAATCTGCCTATGGTCAGTTACACAGATAGTTGCAGTAAGGGAGCTAGAAAGAGCACCCAGGTTTCCTGACTCTAAGTCCAGAGTGCCTTCCACTTGACACCATGGAAGTGCTGTGGACATTATCAGCAGAGAGGAACTGGTGAGGAGAGTGAAGAGGGCCAAACCTTGTCTTACGTTCAGCAGACATGCACCCAGTCAACAAGACAGAAGTGGGACACTGCTATGCTATGCTACACAAATCAAGGGGCAATGTCAGGAACTAACCCAATGTGTAAAAAATTGCAGAGATGTCAAACAAAACAAGCAGAAGTCTCTGGTCCTAGAAATTAGAATAAAGCTAGTAACCTCTTAGATTTTAGTAGAGTGGCAGAGACCAAACTCAGACTACTGTAAACTTTACTAGAATGAAGATTAACAGCAAGGGGGGAAAAATGAAGGCAGCCAAGTCAGGACTATTTTTCTCAAGAGACTCAATAGTAAGAGCAGGATCAAAAAAGGAATTTTAAACAAGTACACTTCACATACTCGTTTTCTGTGCCTACAGGGAGATGGAGAAATTAAAGATTTCAAAGTGAAAGGTGTCAATCGATCTTTATCCTGATGTTGCTCGCTACTGCTTTTGCTCATCAGCTTAGAAAATGCTAGTGTTTTATGGAACCATTTTAAAAGTAACTTAATATAATCAACTCTCAATTATCTACAGGGGAATTGACCACTTTGTAGATTACCTAAGAAAAGGCTTTGGTTAGTTTATTATTTGTTTTTAATGTTAGTTTTGTTTTTCCCAATGTAAAATGTATGAAACATAAAAAATTGCTAACTAATATACTTTTTCCATTCAAAAAAGCATAATTAGAAAGGTAAACCCAATATCACTGTCCTCCCTATCAAGTTAAGCAACAAGTAGCTACAAAACCTCTACCTAAAATGTAAGATGTCATTTCAATATTAAGTAAATGGAGAATATTCCTATAGGTTAGCAATAAATCCTGTTTCATTCTGAAAGATTTTGAAAAATTCTGAAATAATTTTAAGTCAACCTTGTGAGCGCTCATTTGAAGATCTTCCTCATTGTCACAGCCTTCAGCTCTAGCAAAATCTTCAACATCCTGCCATTCCTTATTGCTTCCCTTATGAAAGCACAATCGTGTGCCTAAAGTTTTAAGTAGAAAACAAATATTAGATGTATAAGTAGGGTGCAACACAAGTTAGGTGTAAATAGTTAAAATATTTTTTCTTTCACCTTTCAAAAAACAGTGCCAAACAGTTGAAGGCCAGGAATTGCACCATCCCAAATCATCATCATCTGACAGGGAGGACATGCAGAAAATGCCAGATTCTGACTCACTATTTGCCTGTGGAGAAACATATTATCACCTTTTTAATTTTTGCTTTTTAAATGCATCTTTTAATAACTGTTTTTATCCTAAGTTCTTAAGCTCACATTTCTTATTAGTGGATAAATGAATCATTCTAAACTTAGGGAAAAATACAATGCCTTTGAAAACTAAAGTTTTTGGAAGTTTTAATTAAATGTACATTCTCATTAGTAATAAACTTTCCTAAGAGTTAATAAAGTTGTTTATAAAAGTGAATCCAAATCATTAACAGAACATTAAAACATACTATTTCCCATTTGTATGCGCTCCAAAAGAATTTCTTAGGTGGGGAAAGGTAATGTATTTCAACTGTTAGACAAACTTCATAGAACCTTATAAATAAACTTATAAATAAATAACCTTATAAACTCACCCTTTCATGTCTTACTGGTGTTTCCTCCTTCCAGTGGTGATGAGGGAAGGCTGGCTCGCTCTTAGAAGAGGAGGACACCGGTGGAGGGCGTGCATAGGAATGTAAACTTTTGCTAGTAGCTATGATGTGTACAGGAGATGATCTAAAATAGAGCAGCAGTTTTAACCGTAAAGCGTACGTCCTTAAAGTAGATTCTTTGATGAAAAAAACTCATATTTAATAAGTGCCAATGTTGTTACATTTAAGATACTTATGGTAAACTAGTAAAGACAGTAAGATTTTATCTAAATATGCTGTACGTTAACTAAACTTCTTACCCAAATGCTCCTCACACATTTTCAACACCATTTTTTTCCCAGATTTGAGAATGTATTTCAAATTACCACTACCATTTATTTATCCCATTCATTTTTATATCAATATGCATAAATGTGCATATTTTCATTCATGAATAATACCCCCATGCAGAATTCCCATCCATTTTTTCCTTCTACTTTGATGTTTTCTTCTACTTTAATGTTTGTTGATATAAGCCTCAGTATAATAAAGCATTTAAGCTCAATATGACCAATAATGAACTCATTATCTACCAATCATATATCATTGGGCAGATACAAAGAACTACCCTTAAAAAAATGCTTAAACTTATTATAGCAGAGAGCAGCCTATTTATCCTCCTTGTAACTGGACACTGTTTCTTGTTTTCTAATATAAACCTGTTGAAAAGCAACAGGTCCAGTTATTTTCCTTTAAAGATCAACTTTAAAAAAGAAAAAAAATACCCTTTTCACCTCAAAAGTCTCTTTACTGGGCAGCACTCCCTTTAGAATATATGGAGTCCCAAGAAGATTATTAAAATCCTTCCCTCACAGACAGACCAGATAATTTCATGGTTAGGGTAACAATGAGAAACAAGCCTATAAAGGATGATTAGTAATGTGCATGGACTCAGGAGTCCAGAAAGGAAGCAGAAAGGAAGACAGCAAGGCCAGGAAAGAAAGCCAACTGAAGGTCCGAATCAGGACAATTCTGCGAGATACCAAATAGGAATTTGGTCCTTAACAGAAAAAAAGTTTATGCTTGTCTATACCTATCCTCTTTTACAAAAGATGAGGAGGGATATCTTTCCCATTCTTCCCTTATTTCCTAGATATTTTATTTGCCCCTAAATTTTATTTTATCCTTAACATTTTCATTACACCTTTGCAGAAATTATTTTAAAATAATGATCTACAAAACTATATTTTGCTTTCATGTTCATCTCACTCCTTAAATAAAAAGCCCCTCAAATTTTCATGCATTTTAGCATATTTTCCAATCAATTTTGGATTTCAAATTACATGCTGAGTATTTTATCTTTGCCCAAAGATTGCCCATCCTTTTATTATTGTACATTTAGATATATATGAAATATTACAGAATGGCCAAACTACTAAAAAATTCCTTTTTTTCATCCCTGACTCCATGACTAATAAATAAAAGACAGTGAATTTTACCAATTGTTCTGTTTAATCATTTGAAACATATGTAACAATATGATATTCTAAAATGTACATGGCCTAGATATTCTGGGAAAATTAACATGCTAAACATGTCTAAGCACTAATACCATCAGTTTCTTCATCCCTCTATCTATTCGGGGATAATATAAACTTTACCTGTCCTCAACCCCTTGGTACCACAGTTATGACTTCAGACATCCAAAGCTCAATAACTAACATAGTTTAACACTCTACAAGAAGTTGTATAAACAGCCAGTGATAGTGTTAGAAGGCAGGCAAGACAGCAGAGTGTAAAATACTCCAAAGAATGAAATCTCATCCTCAGGGAACTACTCTCTTCCTTATGTCTGTCTTTATACTGATTTTCTTCTAAAGGGTCTCCACACTTTCCATAAACTCTATTATTAATCCTCATGACTTTACTGTGAAAAATGAAAAGTAGTATCTCTAAATTAGAAATGGAAAAAAGTTTGATAGTTAAATCAGGGTTGGGTTTTTTTAAAAAATGTGAAAGAATTTTTAGCTTTTTGACTATTAAGACTACAATGAAAACTAGGACTGTAAGAGAAATAGTACTCTGAAAAGGAAGTTTTCTTTCCTGTGGAAACTGACATGAAATTTAACTGAAGTTAATGAAACTGAATTTGCTGTAATCAAGATCAATATCCTGCTAAATAGAAGAAAAGCAGCATAACTCAATGGGTTACAAGAAAATTGCAATTTCATACCTAAAAAGTTTATTCTTCTGCAAAGCATTATCTAACTTATGACCACCACCAAAACTCACAGTTGTTCTTACATCACCTAGTATGAACTCTGGTCTATCATTTTCCACCCAAAGGAGGACAAATCTGGGCATTTCTCTTCTTTACAAACTATATTTTTCCATGTCTTTTTAGGGATAAATAATGAAATGCTATCCACTTAGGTCTCCCTAGGAAGCTTCTTATGGAAGCTTCCACAAGTTCACACCACAATAACTCATTTTCTTAAACTCTGGTCTGGATATATGAAACAATGGTTTTTACCCATGGGAGTCTACTTTTAAAAGTTCAAGATTTTAACATTAGCAAATTTTAGAATTAGTGAACAGTTAAGTAACATAAGGCCACATACACTGTGGAAGAAATAAACCTAGACCAAAAGGAACCAAACTCAAGATTGATAAAAGTTTAAAATATAATGTTTATTACAACTATGGTTCTTTAGACAAATACAGTTTTAATTTCTATAAGTAGAAATATATAATGAGTATGTCTTGGTCAAATTTTTTGATGACTTTTAAACATTTACAAATATTTCTTATTCTATTGTTCTCATTATCACCTTTATCTAATTCTCAAAATATTAAATCGTGGTATTAAGTGAAATAATTCTTTGATTATTGTAAGACAAAGAGCTTAATTTTAATGACTTTAAGTTCTAATTTAAGTTAGCCACAGCATTATTACTTCTAAAACTGGAAAAAAATTGAAATAGCTTTTTATAATGATAGAATTTTTAAATAAAAATATAATCATTGCTCCTACCTGTTGTAAAATGAGCACTGCATAAGTGGACTTTGTGGACTAGTGGCAATATTTGCTAATTCTGTTAGCCAATCTACCTCATTTTCACGGTAAGTATTTTCTGATATGTCTGAGGTATTTTGGTTCCAAGATGTTCTCGGATATTCTTGATGTGAAACATCTGAACTTAGCTGGTACATGGCAGATTGGGTAGGATCACTTTGAACAGCCTGAAGTTCAGGAAGGTCATCTGTAAATAAGCACACTCAAAATTACCAAAAGGAAATTACTAATATAGGAATAATACTATAATTGCACTTGGAAGAGAAGTCCTCAAATTTAGCTAATTGCTTTTGTGAGAGGAAAATCAAAAATTCAAAACATTTTCTGAAATGAAACAACCTTCAACTTAACAAATGATACCTTGTACATTTAAGAGTCAAAAGAGCCTAAAAGTAAACCCAACAAATGTAAATGTAGTAATGACTTCACTACCTAAACCATGTAATTACCACAACTGTTCATAAACTGGAAAAACAGAGTTCAGTTTGTGTCCCCCCCCCCATTTTTTGTGCCTCATCTAGGAGTGACCCATATACCTCTGACACATTTTTACACTAGCATGTTAATGAGGAAAAGGGCATTTTATGTGTGTATATATGTACTTATTACTTAATTAACCTTTTATACAGATTACTATAATAATGAAAACAATTTTCATAGATGAGATTATAGATTATATAAATTTTTAGGTATGACTTACATAACTCTGTGTTATAGTATTTCTTTTTAATAAGAAATTCTGAACTTGGTAATGTTTATTAGCTAATTTTTCCTGTACGTGCATTCCTGAAAGGTACTTCATAATAAGACTTTCAGCTCCCCAAGTGAGAAAACTAGAAATATTGCCCAAGTACCACTTATGTACATCCTGAGGCTACAGACACTATAAGGAACAGTGAATTCCAAAATATTGAATTCTTTAAAAAAAAAGAAGATATAGCAGAAAGAAAAAGCATTTTACAGGCTTAAAAAAATCCCCTCTATGAAACGTACCTACAAACTCTACAAATCCATTGAGTCCCTTAAATACACAAAAGTCAAGGAAACTAACTTCTAGTCTCCTAAATGTCACCATAAAAGTACACATAGTTCCTATTTGGGCAAATATTCCAAAGTAGTTTACTAAACCTAAAATGTCTTAATTAAAAATACTAGTTTAGGATATCCATTCATAAAACTGACTCCTTTCATGGAGTCATGAAGCAGCCAAGAGTGCTAGAACAAACCAATTTAGAATCATTCTACCCTACAATTTTCATTATAGCTGGTGTAGCTATTTCCCTTCCTTTATTGCTAACATTCTTCCTTTAACCATCATTTCTTTGCTTTAAAGGCTTCGTTTCTGTCTTTCAAGTTCAGGAAATTAACTACTTTTCAACTGAAGTCATGGGTAGAAGGGGTAAAGTTTCTGACTGGGCTCTGAGTTCCAGAGTTTCCTCTGAAACCAAAGACATGATGGTGGAGGATCAACTACTTGATAAAAATGGTGCTCCTTGCTCAACGGTAACCACCACTCAATATTTATCAGGGCCCAGAAAAATCCTTGGCATTCAAACAGGTTATGTATGTCCAAAGACCTTCAGGATCTCCAAATTTCCAAACATTACTGTCATACATAATCCCCTTCATTTCATCATCTGTAAAATGAAGACTGTCTTATCTTCTCCTCAGAGTTGTAATCAACATTAAGGAAAACTACACATCAAATGGGGACAAAGCCAACCTAAAAACTGGGCAGAAGCCAAGGTCACTCATTAGCTATTTATTCTTGAACACCAGCCTCAAAGTAATGCAATTCAAAACATAACTCAACAAACTGTATTTCTATGTCTCACATTTATCTCCAGAGTAGCTCAGCAATAGCGATAACCATAAAATCAGACTCTCATGAGTCCACTGTAATTTCCCCATTATAACAACAAATCAGACATGAAAAATGGCTAAGCATAATTTACTGAGTTTGTATGGAGGATATTTCAAAAGTACTATCTTTTAAAAACCCACCAAGTGAGGTTTCCCTAAGGTGTTTAATAGTCCAATCTTTTCACACAAAGCAAAACGTTTAATAATCTGTAAATGAGTCTCTATGATAAACATAAATAGCCCAAACTCATGTTGGTTTCAATATTTTAAAAACAATTAACAAGAGAATGTGGAAAATTCCTAATATATAAAAACTTCACATACTTCCCTATCTAGTCAAGGTTGGTGGAGAGCTGGCTAAATATGAAAATTAATCTGAATCTTAGTGAGACTCCTAAATAACTTTTAATTTTGTTTACCAAGCTCCATGTGCTCATCACAGGAGTTATATCCAGGTGAGGATGGCAAATTCTCATTACACTGCAGCAACTCCAATGAGTCACTCATTCCTGAAGCTCTCTTGTCCATTACCAGCAGGAGTTTCTGTACTGCATTAGGCATCTGATTTCTCTTCACTTCCCACACCATGTTATGGTGCTCCGACTTAAAATAAAAACAATACAAGAAAAAATGTCAAATCATGCAATTTGGACATTATATAAGCATAAAATCAGAGACATCATCACAATGTTGCATTTTTAACTTAATCATACACTGCCATTTATTTGTCCCTCAAATCCTTTAGATCAGGATGACTCGCTATATCTTGGCCTACAACTGTACTCAATAATAAATCAGACCTGAATCCCAAAAGATTAATGTATTGAATTTATAGCAGTATTTTCTGATAAATAATGGAGTTATATATACTTTTATTTCTTTAACACAGTAACTCCCCTTTCAGATGCAGATACTAAGACTAATGAAACTTTTTTTCCCAGTTGTCCTTTCAAATTCAAAAGAAAATGAAACTTTCTGCAATAAAATTTTTAAAAGCCTGGAGGAAAATTCTATTTTATGTAAGAAAATTTCTTACAATGGCCATATATAATTCTCATGAAAATTAAAATGTTCTTAGATTTTCTTAATGAGAATTTGGGACCTAGCCATAATAAAAAGATACCTGTCATTCTAGATAGCCTATTATTTCTAGAAAGATGAATAACAATCTTAGGAAATTTAGGCAACTAGTAAATCTACCTTCATCAAGCCTACAAAGTTATCACAAGGAAGAGAATAATATAGGTTAATACACTTAATTTCTTAGTAAAGTCCACCAACTAAATTTTGTTATGAAAGGTAAATGTGGTTATACCTTTTATACTCAGCCTTTGGACAATGATCAAATTATTTAACAACTTATTTATATTTAACATAAGTGAGAACAACAGGAAAACTTCCTGATTTCTCAGGCTCTACTCCAAATCCCAATTTTAAAAAAGTTCTTACAAATGTTAAGGTTATGTAGAAAAAAGAAAAAAAAAATAAAATACAAAAGTTCTACCCAGGTACAGTAGCAGGTGCCTGTAGTCCCAGCTACTCAGGAGAGGCTGGGGAAATCACTTTTGAGTCCTGGAGTTTGAACCAGCCTGGACAACATAGTGAGAACCCATTTCTTAAAAAAAAAAGACAATAAAATATATTGCTGTTAAAAGTAACTAAAAGTATCCTAGCCCAGACTGATCAAAACTGCAATGAAAAGATGTTCACTACTTAATATTTGTAAACTATCTAGGCCATGATGCAATCACCAATAAACACTAGTGATACTGACAAATTTCTTTATCCAAAGGCTTTCTCATATAATCTTTCTGATTAAGAAATATGTTTTCCTGATTGGAAAATACACAATCATTGAATAAGAAAAATGGAAAAGGATTTTTAAAAAAGGAATATAATGATTACTTCTAATCCAGAAACCAGATTTAGATACTGTTAACATTTTGGTGTATTATAATCCAATCTTTTTTCATGTATACATACCCACAATCATATTTTCTTCATACTTCATATTTAGTTGATATCTTTTTCCTTAACATAAGTTTATAAACATTTTTCACTGTCATTATTTTCAAAGATCTAAATAAATAACATACATCAAAAGAATGTTCCAAAATTCATTTATCCCTCCTACCGCTAAATAAGTTATTTCCAGTTTTTTTACTCTTCTAAACAACATTGGATTTGCACACTTATTTCTAAAAGTTATTTTCTTACATCTGATTATTTTAGATTCCTACATACCAGGTTCTTGACACATATAGCCAAACTGTGTATTGCCTTACTTTATTTCTAATATTCCATTTTGGATGCTTTCTGCCTTATCCCTCAAAAATTACCTAACTTATCCCATGCATTACTTTAGACCCTTGCTCAATACTGATTGTAAGATGTATTATGGTGTAGTGAAAAGGGCACTGGGTTAGATGTGAGGAAACATGGGTTTTGATTCCATCTTGATCACTTACTAAATACATGACCTAAGTGACTGAGCTTCTCCTTAATATTTTCATCTGTAACATAGGGCTAATGAGGCCTATCCTACTCTCCTCCTAGAGTAGTTGTGAGGATGAACTGAAACAAAGTGAAAAAATATAAAATGATTTCTTTTAAATTTTTTTATCCCCAGATTGACACTGGGCAATTATTATACATACTTTAGGTTTTTAATGTCCTAAATAGAACAGTTATTGAAAATACATTGTTAGCAGCAGGAGACCAGACAGCTATTCAGTTTCAGCAATTTCCTCCCTGGGGAAATATTATGACAAGTCATCCAACACATCTTAATAACAGTCATGTATCATGCCATTACTTAGGCAAATTAACAATTTATCTACCTAAAAAATGTTAAGGCATTTGAAAGAAATTAATACTTGTTTAGTACAATATACTGATTAATCAGTCTTAGTATATAGTTACAGCCAATCTCCTGGGATATAATAATTCCCCACGAAACTGGTAGCTAGAAGAAATGTGGTTAGTAACACAAATCTACTTCTCAAGTATGAAATCATATTTCTGAGTCTCTACCTTCTGGGGGGAGAATCAAGCAAATTTAGCTTAATCAGTGATCCTCAACTCCACCCTGTGGCACATAGAATCACATGTATGCTTTACATAAACTGATACTCAGGCCCTATCTCCAGAGTATCTGATTTATTTGGTCTGGGGTACAACCCTGTGTACTGGTTTGTGTTTGTTTGTTTTCAGCTGCAAAGTATTGAGAACCATTGGGCTAAAAGTAATCTACTAGATTCCTATTTAGCAAAAAAAAAAAAAAAAAAATCATTTATTTAATACATATCAAGGCATTAAACTAGTTGTAATGTTGGACCCCAACAATGCACAATTAATCATGAATCTCAACGAATCTATGCTTTAGTGGAAAGATATAAGCCAATGATCACAGTCCTACAGACCAGGGCTTAATTATAAATAGGTAAAAAAAAAGAAGGAAGACAGGTCTCCCAGTGAGACAAGCTCACATGAGCAAACTCATACAGCTGGCAAAGTACTGGGTGAGATCAGAAAACTGTACAAACTAGTATCACCAGAAAACAGTATGGTCGTGGATCCAGAGGCTGTGTGGATACTACATGGAAAGGCAATCTAGGATCAGATCTTCAATTCTACTTTAGGAAAACTGATTTTGTTTTTTTCCCTTGAAACAAGAGTAAGGAATCTTAAATCAGGCTGCTTGAGTTTATACACCAGATTTGCCACTTACAACAGCTATGTGCCCTGAACAATTTACTTAAAATCTCCATGTTTTATCTGTAAAATGGAAATAATGCACCTCCTCATAGGTTGTTATAAAAACTCAGTGAGGTCATGTAAAATGCTTAAAACAGCACCTAACACAAAGCAAATCATCAAAGTAGCGGCCAGTATTATTATTAGCAATCATCAGACAATGGAGAACCACTGAGAATTTTGAACAGAGGTCTGATGTGATCAGAACTATACTTTAAAACATTCTCTCTGAGTCTATACATACTCAATATAACACTACGTGAGTATAAGGAACATCTGTAATATATTTTAAGGAGGGTATATGTTTGAAAAAAGAGAGAGAGCACTCACATTCCCAATTTGTCTATTTAAGCCACCTGTCTCCAGCTTCCCTTGCAAGGGTACTCAGAAAAGGTAATTGGCAGTATCAATGGAGATTCCTTATTTAGTAACTTCTAAGAGAAGAACTAGTCATACCATGTGAGTTCTTTAAACAGCTAATATTAATAGTTTGATAGCAAATTTTAACTCTTTCCAAAGAAATCTTTCCAACATCAGAACATAATTTAACCTATTTGATGACCTAAAATCCTTATGAATGTCAATACTATGCTTCACAGATGTGAGTGGTATTAAACCACCCCAGCTGCAATCTTAAACTTGAAATTTTCCCATTTTTTACCTTTATTATGAAATTCAGAAGTTGCACTACACATCTCTCTCTCTTCAGAGCTATCCTCTGTGTATGAACAGTGCTGTTCCTGGGGTCCACAGAAGCACAGTTGTAGTTGTCCTTCCCCTCCCTCTGCAGAGCTCTTTGGTTTCCTCATTCTTCCCAGCTAGATTTTTTTCTTGCCCATCAGCAGATTCTGCAGTGTCCAACATTCACCATTTAGAGTACACTAACATCTCCTTGCAACGTCTATCATTTCTTCAGCACCTTGCTTAGTTATCTACCACCATCCCAACACTCCTTAAATGAAGTTGGAAAAAAACATCATTTTAATTTCAAAACAGAGCTACCTATAAATAACAAAAGGGACCAAATATCTATTGAACTTAAATTTGGTGTGTTTGCACCTCTCATTGCTCAAGGCTATCCAAAGTTTGGTTCTGAGATAATGAAGCTTTGCTACTGTAAAACTACTGTTCGGTTGTAACAGAGTTTGGATGCAAAGACAACAACAAAGGACTGGAGTTTCACTCTTGCTGGCTGTGTAAACTGGGACAGGTCCTTTTATCTCAGCCTTACAGTACCTCCAACTTACCTCACAAGGCTATTCTGAGAATTAAATTTTGAAAACAAAATTCAAAATTTTATACAAATGTTAAGTTTTCTGTCTTTTTTATTCTCTACCAGACTGTTTTGGGGGAAGAAAGCAAGGCCTCTAATACAGTAAAGAAATACTAGAAAAGTCCTTACTCAGTAATACTCCCCTAAATACATTATACCAATTACATACTCATTTTGATAAACAAGCTCCTCTTTCAAATATCTCCTGGTAGAGCTAACCCTATTGTCCATTCATGCTTTTGTATACTGCTTTGATATTGAAGGATTCAACACAGCTTGCCTTGTATTTTAGTTCACTCTGCACATGTCATCTCTTCACTAGATTAGTGATTCTCACAGAGAAGAGTAAAATTCTCCAGCAGTTGTTCTTTGAAATGTTATGTTCGATATTGCAAATTTTCTTTTATTGGAAGGCCCTATTGCTTTTGTTATTCAAACTCTTAGAAACAAATATCCAAAAAATCCTAAGAAAGACAAGAGAGGAAGAAAGGACTAGAAATAGTTAAGTCTTTAAATGAAGGAGGAGGAAACTAGGTTTCACAAAAGGCCTACCAACTGACATGCCTACCTATGGAGCATTTCCACATGCTTCATCTAATTTTAAACTCAAAACAGCTCTGTGAACAAAGTATTATTATGGATGAGGAAAACAGGACTCTGAAGACTAAATGGGACCATTTTCTTTTTGAAAGCGAGAGAACTGAGGGGAAAAAGGAAAAAAGGTATAGAACAACATAGGTTAGACTCCTGCTTTCAAGTGTCTATTCTCCTCTGAATCCCTCCCTACCTTTCCATGGACATTATGGATTTCACAGTAGAAACTTCTATATGTTCTCCCCTAGTCCTGAAGAACTTCCATGCTCAGTCCAGACTATATGCTCAAATTATTTTGAAAAAGTGGGTGAATGAAAGGTAATTTGTAATTAATTTCTATCTCTGAAAGGAGGAACTGAGGTATTTAAAATGAACTACACATTACAAGTTAAAACAAGCCTCCTTATGACAAACTATTAATATATTAAATGCAACTTTCTACACTAAAACCATCTGTGAGGCCTTAATGCTGTTCTTTTAGAATATTTTCAATGACACTTCTTCAAACAAAAGATTTCACAGAAGTTTTTCTACAACTTTAGTTTGCCACTGTGCTAAGAAAACAGACAACTCCACAGTGGGTTTGTTTTGGTCACTTACCACTTTTATGACCCTGAACAAATTAATCTCTATGCCTCAGTTTTATTTGCAAATGGGACTAGTACCTAAACACTTTCACATTACTTGTAACAACTTGTGAAAAAAGCTTTTTCTAAGCTACAATCAATAACTTTTAAAAATTCAATCAACTATATTAGAAAATTATTTTTCTATTCTCTATAGAAAATGTGTAGAAACTACATGAAGCAAATTAAATGCAGATCAAAATATGAAAAAATGTGACTATTACTAATGTCAGGCAGTTAATGAACAAGAATAGTTCGATGTCATTTTTTTCTTGAATTTTATGATAAACAGGTATTTGTCAGCATTAAATTTTTTAAAATTTTTTGTGATTTGGTTTTCCATTCTAAGTAAAAATATTATTCACTTTCATACTTAAATGAAAACACACATAAAATACCTGACTTTGCTTCATTACGTGGCAGTAACTTCCTAGGGATAATTTATGGGGGGGGTGGAGGGAGGAGTACTGATAGTTTCATTGCAAGCACATATACAAAAGACCACCATAGGCCGGGCGCTGTGGCTCACGCCTGTAATCCTAGCTCTTGGGAGGCCGAGACGGGCGGATTGCTCAAGGTCAGGAGTTCAAAACCAGCCTGAGCAAGAGCGAGACCCCGTCTCTACTATAAATAGAAAGAAATTAATTGGCCAACTGATATATATATATAAAATTAGCCGGGCATAGTGGCGCATGCCTGTAGTCCCAGCTACTCGGGAGGCTGAGGCAGAAGGATCACTCTAGCCCAGGAGTTTGAGGTTGCTGTGAGCTAGGCTGACGCCACGGCACTCACTCTAGGAAGGCCTTTTCAGAAAAAAAAAAAAAAAAAAAAAAAAAAAGACCACCATGCAATTCACCCTGAAGAACCTTCAGGGCACAACAGTTTGTTCATTCATTAAGTCCAAGCCCAGTGCCCTCTTCACTGGGCACTTGAATTAGTGACGAAAGAATCCAAAGAAGTTAAGACGTAGTAGAGGAAACAACTCTTAAAGTGACAGTATCATGTTCGAAGTCTGAGAGGTACACAGTGAGAAGCATCTACCATTGGGAAGACAGGTCTGTTGGAAATCCTGAGAGAAAGTATCCTTTTAACTAGGAGTTTGAGAAGTGAACAAAGAGGAAAGGTTTTTCCAGGCATAAAGAAAAGGTAATTGGGTTTGTGAAACTAAATAAAATGAAAACTAGAAAGTGAAATCAAAATTCCATTCTATAATTTATTATTCGTTAGAACAAACCACATTTTGCTTCAAAATGGTTAAATGGCTTCCTCGAAAATATAAAATAGCTCAAAAACCTTAAGGAATGGATTTAATTCTTCTGAATGTAATTCAAATTTCCTTAAAATTTTGTCAAATATTGCCTACCTAGCAAAAACTGAGTTTAATCAAGGAAATCGAACAGGTGACCCCTAACACTCCTTTGCAAAATAAAGCAAAAGGCAATAGCCAAAACAAACCAAAAAAGGCCAAGACCAAAACCAAAAGTACAAATACGCTGCAAATCTAGATAATTGTCAACAGCAAAACAACAGAAGAGTATTTACAAATGTTAACATTATTCTAACTCTCAAACGGTAAATTTAATTCCAAAACCACTGTTAGGAATCGTCCTACTGCTATGTATTGGGAATCTAAAGCACTTCATCAGAGTTGTTGGTAGGACTCCACTGCTTCCCAGAATGTACAACTCCCTTGTTTTTTTAACACTCCTCTCATCCTGGCATCAGCGGGACCCCGAACCAAAAACAAAAACCCTGATTACTGCCTTGCTGTCAATGCTCCTTCTAAAAATGACTCTAGCTGAAAACTCTCCTAAGAACGAACTCTAAGAGAGTATAAAGTGCAGAGAGAAGAGTGAAATACCCTAGCAGCACACAGCGTTTAAAACTACCAAAACCTGGCTGTCGCCGGGATTCTTTTTTGTTTTGTTTTAATCTGCCTGCAGCAGCAGCAGCAGCAGCAGCATAGGTTAAAAGGCGGAGACTGGAATCGCCTGCCAAGCCTCCTCTTTGGGTCACCCAGAGCAGCGCCTCCCGGCTCACGCCAAGTCCATCCCCCACCCTCTTTCGCCATTCATCGCGTTCCCCTCCCTTCCCCCCATCATGTGACCGCAGCCTGGACTCCGGGCTTGTTTTTCCCCTCGGCTCAGCCCCACCGCGCAGGCGCCTCGGAGCCCATTCATTCGAACTGCGTAACAATGAGCCCCGGGGCCCAGCGGCTCCGCGAGCTTCCCAGCTCGGCCCGAGCCCCTGTAGCCCAGAAGGAGGCGGTGCCTCACCGGGGTCCCCCACCCCCAGCCGGGCCCCCATACCCCGCCAACCTCCGACCCTCCGCCCACAAGCGGAGAGTTAAGTCAAACTTTCCTAGGCAGCCCGGGCGCCGCGTCGGCCCCTTCCCCCGCCCCGGCCCGCCCCAACTCCACACCCGGCCCGGCCACCCACCGCGCAACCTGGCTGGACGCCTTGTCCTGGTCCTGTCTTCTCCCAGCCCCCGCCCCCAGACCCCCTAGCGCCGCCGCCGCAGCGAAGCCCAGGTGAGCTCGCGGGAGGCGCCGGTCCCATGGGTTTGTCCCTGGCAGTAGTCGGGCGGTTAACTGCCCCCACTCGGAGAGCAGACCTTCTAGGAGGAACGCGGACCCGAGCTCGCCAGCGGCCCGAACCCCCGGGCTCCTGCCCCTCCCTTCCCCGCCCCCACCCCTTCCCGAACTGAAAGACAACAAACCTGTCGCGGAGTGCCGGCAGCCCAGGAACGGGCCGCCCCGGCCGCGACAACACCACCAACAGCTCGTGTACCCCCTCTCCGACTGCTGCCGGCCTCCCCTGCGCGTGTTACCGCTCCCGCCGCCGCTCTTACTCCTCAACCGAAACTTTCCTACTTACCAAACCCGTCGCCATTACCAAGTCTTTCAAGCTTCGTCTTCCCCCTCCCCTCAACCCCCTGGGGGTTGAGCCTCCTCCCAGCTCTTTCACCCTCTTATTGGTTTGCGGATCTGCCATTCGGTCCTTCCCCAATTCCATTGGATGATGCCATGGTCCGTCTCAAGGGGCGGGCATGTATTGACTTTTGTGTTGTGTTTACTGGCGAAGGCGGCGCGTCAATCATTAGAGTAAGTGCTTGGGATTGGACTAGCGCCGAGACTCCGGGGACCCGAGCCAAACTTTGCCGCCGAAATGGATTGTGGGTTCGTAGTCTCAGCATTGCTCCTTAGTTCTGAGAAATTGCAAGCCGAGGAACCGGTTGGACTACATATCCCAGTAGTACATTCACAGTGCAGCCTTGATAGTAAACAAGAGTCATAGGGACACGTGTATCAGCTCGTTTGTTTTGGTGCCTGGGACAAAGGGGAGGGGGCGGAGGAAGCGAATGTTTTAAAGCTTGGGCCTCTTGTCTTCCTATGATCCTCTGCTAACGCTAGAGCGGCCCACTGCTCTCGAAGCACCCATTCTGGGCCATAAACAGCCAGAGTCGCTCGCTGCTCAAAGTTTGGCAGGAGGCCAAGGTATTGTTTTAGTTCGAGGGGAAGGAGATGACCGCACAAGCGGAAGCAGTGCAGGCTTGCAAGGGACTTCGTCACCCACAAATCATGGTCCCAGGCACGATGGGGACGAAAGTGATGCTAGGCTTGTTGCCGAAACTGCAAGGGGGTTGCGATCTAGGTCCAGTTATTCGTGGCACAGATCCAATTATTGAGACAAGGTGAATTGGCAAGGAAGAAAGGAACTTCCAACATGTCATGTCGGGAGAGAGCATGGGCTTTTAAAGGAGGGGCCACGTTCCTTGCGGCAGGTCTTGGTGTAACTTAACAAGGGGCTAAGTGCTCTGGGGCAGGTCTCGTGCAGTGGGGGCGGGTCGTGGGGGATGGTAATTCTTGGCGTCAGAAGTCTTGTTCTAGGGCCTTCGGAATCTCGACACCTTTGTCTTGCAGAAAATCCACCATTTCTGCGAAACAACTCAAAAAGTTCAAGTACTTAGTGAACGGAGGAGATTATTTTAAAAAACATGTAGGGGTTCATGGTTACAGGCTCCACCCGCAGTGGG